CAGTCTTACAGCCGCGAAGTCGAATCTAATGTTGTCTTACACACTGTTAATTTTGTTGGGGTTATTTGTTAAAAGCTAGTAATAATGATTATTATTTTTAAGCCTTTAGAAATTTCCAAAGGAATGTCTTGAGAAGAGGTGAGCGAGTTCATTACCTTTACTTTAACGGTGTCCTTATTGAGTGTATTCGGTATATTTATCTTGACTCAATATATTTTTTTCAGACCATATTACCGACATGACTTTCATGGATATTGAGAGGGAAATAGAGAGGGAGGCGCACCTAAGAGAACAGGCAAGTAAAATGTGGGAAGAGGCAGAAAGAAGGTCTGAAGATAGACGAAGGTGGAGAGAGGTGAACATGAGGACCATGGGGTCGACAAGTGAGAGGTACAAAAACAGAGAACAAACATTGGAAAGAACAGGAGAAGAAGAAGAGAACACCGGTACCCTCAAGTAGATAATGCACGTCTAGCCCAAATAGACTTGCGGAGCCGTTACCTCCACGACTACAGTGTAAGTGTTCTAGATTGTTTGATCTAAACTACTTGCGAACAGTGTTGTGCAAACGGATGCAACAAATCTCAACAATGATAAGACCTGCACGCAAAAAGATGCAACGGTATGCGCAAAGGGACGAAACAGGTAACCTGGGTAACATCCAACAATGCTGCGTCTGTTTGCGGGGGACTTACTACAAATGACTTACAATTAATAAATTATATTAACTTATTGATTACCTGCCTATCATCATCATTGTCAGGATATTTTTTTCATATTTTTTTAGTTCGTTGCCATAAATGTCGAGCTTGGGCATGTTCAAGCCCAGTGCCCAAAACAGACGGTGGCAGAATGGAGGCAGTACCGGAACAAAATCAACAACGAAGAAACAGAGAAGCAACAGAGAAAGGCACCCCAACAGTGAACAATTTCTATTTCACTATGCTACATTAAAAGATATCTTAGGGTAATTTCCATTTGTCACAACGGACTGACCGGCCACACCATCTCCATCACAAGGACAATTCAACTTTCAAAAAATTATCCAAGCAGATCAATCAATTTCAAAATAGTGTACAGGAAAGGAAATGGTGTTTCCGCAAAAACTCTTAGAAAAAACCTATTTCAATGTCGAAATGACTGGTTCGGGCATGGTCCGGCCGGCAACGCAGTTCTGACTTTAGGAAGGCGCCTTTAGTATAGTATCAAATGACAACTTATTAAAAATGATCACTCCAGAAAACAACAACCTATGGTGTGGTGTATTAACGCCTAAGTTGAAACTCCCATTTATACACATGGAATATATTAAGCCATTCATTAAAGGCTAAACTGATTATCCCGTATCGTGGTTGTATGTAAGTAACGGCTAAGTTGTACCTCCTACGGCTCACTCAATTCCCACCCGCCCCGGGCCTTTCTGTCAGGGTCGTGTGGAATTTGTAAAATATTAAAAAATAGCGGCTAAGATTGATTTGCGAAGGGTGCTTCACTGTCAGGTTTTCATCACACAATAATGTTCCTATAATTATGGCATTTGCAGGTGATTTCCTGGACATGCAATATTGGTGTAGTCCTGGGTTGGGGCATTTAAACCCCTTTATTAAGCTCCACCTTGGGGTTTTGTATGAACCGCCCAGCCCCATCGCCATTAACCTCCTCTTTAGCAATATATAATAACCTCCTCTCCATATATGTATTGAAAATATTTAGCCGTTAAATAACGGCTAAGTTTAGCTGCCTCTTTATATGTATTGGAAATATTTAGCCGTTAGTTTATGGCTAAATACGCATAACACTTATATTGTGGTAAATGGTTAGCTGTTAATAATGGCTGAGTTTCACTCTCTCTTTATAGTGGTAAATTGTTAACCGTTAAATAACAGCTAAATTTACTGTCTCTCTTTATAGTATGGAAATATTTAGCCGTTAATTAACGGCTAAAAATGCCCGACACTTCTTTAGTTGGAAAATAGTTAGCCATTAAATAACGGCTAAGTTTAACTTCCTCTCTCTATGTATATGTTACATTTAGCCGTTAATTAGTAAAATTTAGCCATTAATTAATGGCTAAATTTTTCTTTAATAATAATACAAAGTGACTTGATGGCTAATTTTTTATGTCTGTAGACAAAAATTATTGCAAATTTAGCCATTGTCTAAACACCGCCTTCATTGCCGGCTGACATGTTGCTGCGACCCTGATGGCGTTACCTGAATATATCATACGCGCTTTTGACGGTTAAGTGGTTAATTATTGCTTTAAAAAAAATAACACAAAAGTAGTTGGTTTTTTCCCTTTTCTGGCCAGCCCATAGCCAGAAAAATGCTTTCTCAACAAGGGCAAATAAAAGATGTATATACTACATTGCGTTTTTTAAGAGTTTATTTTTATCGCTGCCACCCGGAGATCACCGGAAACAAAAGTTACAATGTAAGGGGTAGTTGAGGTGTAGGTTGGGGGCAAGGAGAAATTGTCTGTGAGGGATAGTGGCTAAAAACACTTATTTAATAAACCATGAATGAATGAATAAATTTCCTGTGCTACATCTCGTGTTGATTATTGTTATAGTCTATTGTATGGGCTGCCCAACTACCAGCTTAACAAATTGCAGAGAGTATTGAATGCCTCAGCCAGGCTAGTTTGTAATGCCCCTAGGTTTTGCCACATCTCACCCCTTCTTTGTGGTCTGCATTGGCTTCCTGTTAAAGCGCGGGTAGAATTTAAGATACTGCTTATTACGTTCAAAGCAATTCACGGCCTTGCTCCTAAATAACTATGCCATTTACTAACATTTAAATCGCCCTTATATAACCTAAGATCTTCAGTTGGTATTTTACTTTCTATACCAGCTGCTCGATCGAAGACGTTAGGTGATAGAGCTTTTATGGTAGCAGCGCCAAGGCTCTGGAACTCTCTTCCAAAAGAACTTCGTGCGATTACTAATGTGAACAGTTTTAAGGTGCATATTAAGACTTATCTTTTTGGTAAGCAATTTCATATTCAGTTCTTACTTGCATGCATATATATTCTTTTTATTTTTCTAATGCATTATCTTTTATTTGTTTCTTTCAAAGTAATGTAGTTGTAATGCGCAGCTGATCATTCTCATGTTAAGCTGCGCACAATAAGTTCATAAATTATTATTATTATAGCAAGACATCATCTCAAAAAATTGCGTTTTAATTTCAGCACAAATAAAATAAACAAACAATCAAAACAAAACACCCCCTGGGTGATTTTTAGGTAATGCAATCACCGTCGCAGAGACAAAAAGGCAAAATCCATCTCCAGCACGTGGAAAGCCAATTTTAGGATTTTTAAGGATAAACAACCAAAATTATAGACCAATTGGCGGGGTAAGGCATATTTTCAGTGTACAATTATATGCAGGTAGTCTATGGCTTTTTGTCCTCTTTTTAACGCCTCAATACTGATCAATGCTGATATCTCTGCAAATTTTTAGACGACGCGGATCATCAGCACGTGGATGGTAGGTTTTGGTCGTTTTACGGCTTACAGTTTTTGAATGGTTGTGATTCGATTTCATATATATATATATATTACGGATTGGTTTTTAAGGGGGTCTTAGTTTTCGTAATGACGAAAACTAAGACCCCCGAATTTACCGTTAAATTTGACCTAAATCTCAGTGGAAAGAGTCGGAGAGAAGGTAATTTTGACAGATTAGCCCTATTTCGATTACAATTTGACTTCATATTTTGACGGATTTGATTTTTGGGGGTCTTTGTTTTCGTAATCTCGAAAATTAAGATGGGTCTTAGGTCTTAGTTTTTGAGGGTCTTAGTTTTTGTAACACCCATTTTTTTTTGTCATGATACTGTCGATCTAAAGGTGGTTTTAAACCTATACTGTGACACTAAAATTAAAAACAAGTCTTCATCAACCCCGATTTCAGTCTACTTTCAGCAATTAAAGATAACTCTGGTTGATTCATATAGCTTGCATTGGGTCCTTGGTCTGTTTTATTTGAAATGTAAATGTATAGAACACTTCTACTCCTTTGTGCCTCGTATACTACATTCAACAAAGCCTAAGAAATTTACTCTTCACCAGCTATAGCATGTTTACAGTAGGGTTACACTGTGGTAAATTTGTTTCCTGTCATAACTGATCCTCAAAGGATTTCGAACTCATCATAAGATGGAACAACTGGCAATTTAAGCTCAAGTGAACAAGTGGAAGTAAAGAATCCTTGATCATTTTCAGCTGACACTAAAATGCATTAGGCCTCAGTGCTCCTGTATTTAGTGTACTCCCAGTAGTAAAAGATAAGAATTCTGAGAGACCCTGATGGTCTGCCTTATCTATGAACGTATACAACACTTCTAATGCTTTGTCAGAGTCAGGAGTGCTTATAAAAGGTGGGTTCAGAAGGCCTTTTACCAATCCTTCAGTGATTTCTTCTTCACTGTGAACAAAGAACTTTTCACACCTAGCTGGATTCTTTTCAATTTCAGCCAGTACTCCAAGTGTAGCTAACCCTTTGCAGAACTGATCCAAAGCTGCTTTATGTTTCAAGACTGTCACATGGAGAATTAATGACTGCATCACTTCTAATTTGTTGTCTTCCTTTGTTTTTAAGAAATTAAAAGGCAAATTAGCAAAGGAAAAAAATAATAATAAATACATGCAGTGACAATATCCATCATGCAGATGTTAATGGAGCATAATTTATGTAGGGTGAGGGAGAGGATCATTGGGGACGGTTATTAAACTTGGGACACATTTTTAGAAAAAAGGATACGAAACATTTGCCATACATTCCCCTCTTATAATATTCCTTAGAAACACTTAGTCAATTCCATTATCGTGTAAACCTCCCAATCCTACAGTCTCATGTTGAGTTCCCTTTAGATGCAAATTCTTGGTTTCTGAAGACCAGACAAATATCTCCTTTGATATTGCAAGTGTTTGCCTAGTTTCACCTACCGTAAGCTTACAAGCTTCCCCGCATTCTTCCATCTGATTTATAAAGTTAGGATATTTCATTAACACACCCTGGCACAGCCTCTTTGACCTAAAAAAATTAATATCACTAATTATTTTGCGAGAGGTCAGCCAATGGAGAGCTTCCTAGCAGGCTCATATTAATTAGTCTCCAAAAAATATTCATATATATATTTTAACTAAGAAAAAGTAACAAAACAAAATGAGATTATAAATTAAGAGTGGAAAGTCATCGAATTGCTTTACGAGTAGTTTTTTAGGCCAGATAAAATACATATAATATCCTTATCCTTCTTTTCCATTATGGGGAAATGGATCCATATTGGGGATGGCTACACACCCAACTCCTGCCACTAAACTCCTAGAAATAAGCCATCATCCCATTGCCAAATCTACTCATCAGTCCATTTCATGTAAGGCCTGCATAATTGTGCATAAACAGTAAATGTGCACAAGTCATGTATTATTGCCTTCATGTGGGATTATGAGAATAAAATAAAATATTGTAGCAACTTACTCTTTCCAGAAAAATGCATAGCTCAGGGTCAACTACATCAATACAAGAAGCCCTGCTAATGCCTTCATTCAAATCCCCTGTAGCAACATACCAAAACACGGCAGGAGCAAGGTAAGGAAATCCTGGACCTCCCTGGACTAGACTGTGTGAAACCATTTTGCCAATGGTCTCAAATGTGTTGGTAAGGAGATTCTCACTTCTGTGGAGTGGAGTGACTCTATTGGGTGGACCTGTAAAAAGCCTAATACCAGGAACTTCAATGTTTGCCAACATTTTGAAAACTGTAGTAACCCACCCGAGTCCACTCCAGATTGACCTTTATATCTCACAGTGATTGGGGTAGATGCATCAAAGTCCTTGGACTTGTAGTATCAAAGAAAGTCAATAGCAGTGTCTTCTTCATCTTCTATTTTAAGCCTTTCAACAGAGAGCTGACTTCATCTTTCTTTTAAAGTGCTACTGAAGCGAAAATCAATCCACTGTAAAAAACGATTAATTATTACTACGATTCCTATTTAATCAGATAAAAAAGCATTTAAGCCATAAAAACATTTTCTTCATAGTATTTTTGGAGCGCGAACAAAGACAAGTTGCTGAAAAAAGTGCATCAGGGCGATTCCCTAATTAGTTATGCATGTGACGTCACATGGTTGACACATCGAGCACGGGGAAAAGTGTAGCTCATACATTTCACTATGGCGAAGCATCCTGGAAAGACTTGTGTGGCTGGTGGTCCAGGAGGAATCAGTTGTACGAACAAATCTTATACTCCAAATGTTTCCATGCATATATTCCCTAAAAATGAGAAAGTAAGGGATCAATGGGTAAAGTTTGTGAATGTTCATAGGCCAGATTGGAAACCTTCATCGCACAGCACATTGTGCTCTGTTGACTTTCACGAGAGCTGTTTTACAAGGCTGAAATTAAGCAGATTGCTGCCAGCCAATACTAGCGATGAAAACAGCATTAGCTCTGAAGCAAGTTCAAGCACGAAGCCCAAAGAAAAACGAGTTTTAAAAACGGGATCAGTTTCAACCACCCAATGTGCTATCCAAGCACCAGTGATCGAACAAAGCGCTCGTGAGAGGAGAAGATCGCAAGTGTGAAATGCATGCTTTTTTTGTTGTTAATAATTTTCTTAAGTTAACATTGTCTTCGCCAGTTTCATTGCCAGTTAAGAAGAGACATCGAAAAATCCTTGACATAATAGTTACAATTCACGTCGTATTTTAATCAAAGTTACCAACAAGAAGGCTCCTTATGAAAGGATTTTCGGTGTTCGATGCTCATAAGTTTGTTTCCGCGCGATTAATCGCCCACACTTAATTCCAGCCGGGGACTTTTTATTTGACTAATTGAAGTTGTTTAGCCAAGATAATTTCTCCAATAAATTCATCTTTTGTTTTAAACAATTGCAGTTCTTGGGGAAAATCGAGCGTGGAGCTAAGAATGAAGCCGAGCAAGCAGCCGCTAAAGGTGACACAAGTGCCGACACAAGTGCAGTTTTGGAACCATACGAGGACTGCGACTCCAGCTTCTCTAGACCAAATAGAAGAAAGTGGGGCACTAAGCAAAGCCACGCAGGCAAAACCTGCAGTAGTGTCGAGGAAATCACAGGCTACACTCGGCGAGTGCCTGAAGTGTGTTAATAAAAAGGTGAAAATAAGGGCTCTTTAGAAGCAAAACGTGCGGTTACGTTTGCAGAGGGAAAAATGGAAAGAAGCAGCAAGGGGAGTACCACTCAGTGTCCGTATTTATTTAGTTCTACTAAACATACCCCCCGAAATTAACTAGCCCCTGTCAAGTGGTTTCGGACCTTTTTGGTTTTTCAGGGACAGTTCTTTTTTATCAACCTTTTTTGGTAGTGTGACTCCAGTGGCGAGGAAGAAGACGAAGCAGAAGAGAGTATTGAGGAAGTAGAGGGACTCACAGGGGAGGAAGATATGGATTGTTTCAAAGAACCTGGCTTTGCCAGATGGAGGAGAAACGGGAGGACGATATCGATGCTGAT